GGGTAGTAGTATAAGCAAATAATAGTATAATTTGCACGTGACATTTGGCATAAATACAACTAGTGATATTTCAAAATTGTCTCAAATTTCACTAGCCTAACGGCTCGTGAAATTACATATAACAATTTTGAAATATCACTCGTGGTATTTATGCCAAATATCACTACTAATCATGCTATTTCCTATACAAAGTGGCAGGGAAGCACGGATAGAAAGCCATGGGGCTTATTACATTCAGGCTACCTATTTACAAACAAATTCAGAGTTTTCTAAGTATACATAGATGACAAGAATAAGCTAAGTATAAGTAATAAGGTTAAGAGGTATAATAAATTATAAAGTCAACAAAATCAAATTATATAATTTAAAGTATCTAATTATTGATTCAAGGAAATAGTTCTAAGAAAAAAAACATTCAAGTTAATAGTCTAAAAATTAAGCACGAAAAGAGAACGAAAATCGAAAACTCTCGCTCGAGAGAGAGAGAACTAGGCTATGCAAGAATTATTAATCAACAATATGGAAATTTAATTTACGACAGATCAGCTTGTTGAACTAGAAATCTATGTAAGTTGTTTTTAAAGACATTTTTTGAAGATTCGTCTTTGAGTTCAGGAGGGAGAGTATTCCAAAACTTTGGGCCTTGATGTGCTATGGTAAATTTCTTAAAATTGGTTCTCGAAAACTTAGATCTCTAATTCATGGCATTTCTTGTATTATAAGAATAAAGTTAAGAACTAGACAGGAACATGTAATGGAAGCCTACTGAAAGAAACTTTTTTTTGAAGGAGAACATGAAGGAGCCGATCTGTAGCTTATATGTATTAGTTATATTGAGTTAACAACGCTCATAGAATAATAGAGCACTGAAGGCATCAAAACAGGACTTAGTGATTACTCTTCTGATGATACGTTTCCGAAACACAACAAGTCTACTCAAGATAGTTTTATACGTAGACCCCAAAACAATGGTTCCATATTGCAGGTAAGGATAGACAAGGCAAAATATAGGGTACGCAACAATGCCATAGAAAGGTAGAACTCTGGCTTTTGTTATAATACCAATAGATTTAGAGACCCTATTGGCAATTAAGTTAACATGTTCTTTCCAATTTAAATTCTCATCTGCATAAACACCTAGAAATTTGCTATGTGTCCTACGTTCAATAGTTTCGATAATTGTTTTGGCGCGCCTTAAAAATAACATAGTTGATTGTCTTTATGTTAACTGTGAGTTCATTAGCCATCAACCAATTAGACACTTTCTCAAGTTAGGAATTTAAGATATCTTGTAACATATTGAAATCAGCATTTTTCTTTCTATTTTTCTTTTCGTTCTTTTCGAAAACATCGGCGAGCGCGCGAGAGCGACCCCACCCCTACCCCCTTGCTCTCGACGGACTTTGAAGAGAAAATAAAGGGTCTGTGAACAGGCTAAGTTACATGAGAAAAGTAAAGTTACAGAGCACTGAGAAAGCTAGATTTAAGTTACAACATAACAGCTAACAAGATATGCTGATCAAAAAAGTAGCAAAAAATTACACGGTGTCAGATCACAAAACGACGCAAAAGTACAGGTATAAATTAAACTTGGGTATGAAATATATAAAAAACTAAGAGTAATAGATTATTCTAAGTAAACTCTTATTCGTTCACTCACAATTCGCCCCTTAATTTTCCAAAAAAAAATTCAACCAGAGAACGCCACCCCGCCCCCACCCCCCTAATAATGGTGGTAGTGTGGTGGATTCATGAATTGCCATAAGGAAATATAAGTACAAGTACTGTCTACTAGCTATCACTAATGGGCTGGCCACGGTGATTATAGAAGATTTGACTTTATTCAAGACGTTGTTACACAGCTGACTCCAGTTGAGAAGGAAACAAAGAAAACAGGAGTACGATAGGTGACAAATTTAGCAATAACTACGGTGACAAAATAGCAAACCTATAGAAAACCGGTTAAACTACCTTGTAACACCTGTTTGTTTGGTGATGGCTTTTACCTATGGATGCGTCTTGCTCTCTTGCCATTTTTACATACATACACTGTTTACAGGTAGCCACTAGTCTACGACACCTAAAGGATGATCATGAGGTTATCCATATACAGGAGCCCTATATTGAGATCTCTCCTTACCCTTACACATCCAGCCCAGGAAAGATCAGCCACACTACAGGGGTCTACGTCTCTACCCTTTTCGAGTGGATTCCTTTACGTCCCACAAGAATCAGATAAGTGAAAGTGCTGTGAGACGGGATCTATGGTTTTTCTTCCTGATCCGAGAAGACTAGAAAGTCCATCCGTTTGCACATGTTATACAAAGGCAGCATTTTCTTCTCAGTTATTTTGAACCCGCCACCTACCGCTCAGCAGACGAGCGCCCTCCCAACTGAGCTAAACAATGTCTTTAAACAATAGTTAAATGCTGAGACAATTCAAATCCTGTAGGCAGTCAGCCCTTTGATCCATTAACAAAAACCAACAAGAAGCATGCAAAAATAAAGCAAAAAAGGTTCATTCAAATAGTTACACAAAGTATTTAATACCAAAAGCTTTATTTGCGTGACCATAAAGGAATTACAGTATTTGATAGACGGACTCACGTAACAGATGTCTCAATGATTAGCACCAGGAGCAAAAAATTATCTGGTACCTTATTGTTCTTTAATTTCGCGTTTTTCGCGATTGTAAAAAAATCGCTAAATTAAAGACCTTCGAAAATAAATCCTCGCTAAATTTAATACCCATATGGAAAATTCAAATAGCAATCAACATGTAATAGCAACCTTATGTCTCGACAAACACAAATCGCTTTCTGGTTTTACTGGTAAGCTCCATTTTATATCTTCCGTTGTGAAATGACTTTAGTTTGCAAAAATTTCAAGCATGGCTTGTTCCAGTCTATCGAATTTTTTCAACGTTCAGACTTTTTAAAAGAAGCAAATGAAGTTGAGAAGGCTTAAATCGCGAAATTTAATGGCCTTTTTTCCTGTTTACTTGTTAAAATCGCGAAAATAATGCCCCGGGAAATATTGTCTCGCAAAATTGGGAAATCAACTACCGATAAGGTTCAAAAAAGGAGTACAACCTCGGAAAGCGTAACTTAGTATTTAATCCAGTGTTTGCATATTGTGTACATATTATGTAAGATTCCTTTTTTTTCTCTGAAGATACTGATTAAAAAAAATAATCCAGTGTTTTGCCGTTGAACGTATTTTCTCATACGCGTCAACTGTGACCCCAATTTACCAAAGACCTCACTCCCACAATTGACCTTAGTAAATAAGTGAATTATTGACCAGTTGGTAACCGGTTTAAAATGAAGAAATCGGGCGATAACATTTTTCTAATTCATTCACGTTTGCAATGACCGTTCATTCACCCCGGCACTTCAATAACAATTATGAGGGAAAATATCATTTTAAATGGCCAAATTAAATTTTAAATTTTGCGCACATTCATTCCAAACGTAGAAAGTTAGATATGTTTATCCTCTTTTAATTTGTTTACCCAAACAAAGTAAATTCCCCACCAGTTAAATCGCCAATTTCCTACATTTTCAATTTTTGGACACGTGACATGTCACGTGAGCATAACTAAACCCTGAGGCACAAGAAAACCTCATGACTTACTTTTCGGGAAAAATTCCTATTGTTCTAGATTTCCTAGCGAGAGATATTGCCAATCATTTATATGCTCTGGACACACCTTTTGACCGACGTGTTAAACCCTTTGAGTACTGAAATCCGACCTACCATTACTGTCACTTCATCACTTATACTCTCCTGATTACTTCGCTGGTCTTTGAACTGGAAAGAACTAATAACGACTCAAGACAGATTAAAGTGGCGCAGCCTCATCAGCGAGGGTGCTGAGCCAGTAGATAAAAGCGTACGAAGAGAAAACGTCTAATGCGGAAATCCCGCTTAGTCAGGCAGCACCTGATCGACCTCTGCTGGCATCATGTGCTTCTCTTGTACACTGAGACAATTTGGTGCTCGGATTAGTCTCCTCAGCCACCTCCGAACTCACAGAACGTAAGTAACGGCCGGCATCATGGGAGAAGTCATGGTCATCGAATGAAAAAAAAAACAGTATAGAAAGATTGGTTATTTTATCGGCCTTAGCAAACAAAGGTGTAATAGACCATCGCGTAGCTTGAGGTTCCATTGCAATCAAATGATGAATTGACGATGAATGAAGAAATATTTGCGTTCGAGGCACGAGCACGCAACCCCTAATTTCTGTTCACAGTAGCTACACTCAAGTCACTGAAATCAACACACTCTCATACGATATCACTAGCCTTCAAGACTTTTTCACAACGATTTACAGTTTAAATAGAGGTTTCGCTGTAAGCATTCCTTACGTTTAAAATATACCATGAACAACTGATTAATCTATTGCAATAACCATCCACTCTTCCCCGTACGCCTAACAAACATATCGAACGCACTCTCCTAAGCTCCAATTACTCCTAGTTTACTTGTGTAGAGTTTAAACTGTGTGGACGAATATGAATAATTAACTTGTTTTGTTAATCATTAACCGCGATTTACCGACAACCGACAACTATCGAAAACAACCGACAACCGACAACCGAGAAAGTGATCAAATTTTTACCGACAACCAAAATGTGACCCCCCCGCCCCCATTCCAATAGAGACCCTGACTGTGATGAGAACTAGGATGTACCGCCCTGCCATGCACATGATTACACTGTACCTTTCATCATATACTTATTTTGCGTTTGCTATTTTCTTTCTTGAAACTTTAGGCATTCGAAAGGAGATAGCCGTGACAGGAAAACGATAACACAAGTTGACTTATGTTCAGTAAATGACCTTTTTATTTTAACCATCTCACAATGGATTATACTCCAGTACTACTTCAAATCTATTTTTGCTTCTAAGGAAAAGCGTTGTTTATAAGAACAACATAGCTTCATTCATTAAGTAATAACCATAGCCTGACTTTAGGCGTCTTATCTATAATATCACAAATTGATGCTATAAGCGCCGAAGAAGGTATGATGTTTTGTTAACCAGATGGCACTTCGGTACACGGTCTTCAAGCCGATGAGATCACCTTTTTTCAGCCTCAAAACTGCGCCGGAGGATTCTGAACCATAATCAGCTTGGTTGCCGATGGGTGTTTGTAACACCGCTATGGGTTTTTCATTGATAGTAAGCTCCACTCTGTTATGGTAGATTGACGGAGCGTCTGGATAATTTTCAAAAAAAACTTGGGCAAAGACGTAGTAGACTCCCTCACGTTGCACCACCAACTGACCGTTCACTTGGGAGAAGTTGTAGACTGGATCAGAATTTGTAAATTCACTGATTCCTGGGAGGAAAGAAGAATAGGAACAAATTCTGTCATTTTTTACGCTACCACGATTGAAAGATACGTTAGTTACGAAGTTAGCTAGTGTCAGTTGAGCGGGGATTTTCATGGTGGACTGGGATGACGAATTACCTAGAAGATATTACATGGCTGCGCGGACATACGAAATTTCTCATTTCGTGTTGAAAATTCTGCACCGCAGGATTTTTTGTATGGGTATAAAGTACTAAGTAATGACTACAGCACAAAATTGACCTTAAACATCAATATCCTAGTGAGATAGCCCATTTAAAAACTAATAACTATTCAGGAGTTGTTAATTATTACTTGTGTTTGCTGGGTATTTCTTCATCACTGGTGCATATCCTTGCAACATCCCGTAGGGTTTCTAGGAAGACAAAATAATGATGAAACATAGTTGTCTTACTGCCGCCTTGTTAGCTCAGTTGGGAGAGCGCCGGTATGCTGAGAGGGAGGTCGAGGGTTCACTGAAATCCCGGCCAGACCGACACTCAGGGTCTTTAAATAACTGAAAAGAAAGTTTCGCCTTTGTAATGACATGTGCAAAAGGTTAACCTTTCTAGTCTTCTCTGATAAGGACGGAAAGCCGTAGCTCCCGTCTCACAACACTTTCACTTGTATAGTTTTTGTGATACGTAGAAGAACCCACACAACTATATATTCGAAAAGAGTAGGGGATTTAGACCCCGGTGGTGTGGGCAACCTTTCCAGGGCTGGGTGGGTTATCTGTAAGGAGAGATCTGAATATAGCGACAACCTCATGATCCTCCTTTTGGTGTCGTAATGGCTAACAGCGTATGTGTATACATTATGGGAAGTTTCAAAAGCTTTGCAATTATGTATATGTGGTCATATCTGGCTGCAGTTGGATTCGTGTCAAAAGTTGTTAAAACATAAGAATAACCTCTTAAAACTTTAAAGGAAGGTTAAAATAACATAACAGAAACAACAGATGCCAAGGATGGGCAAAACTGAACAAGATGGAAACGGATTGAAATTAGGATTTTTGATTTTTTAAGGTTGATCCCTGTTGATTAAAACTTCAAAAATAATGTTCAGGAGACACATTTGTTTGTCTCGGATCTCTGATTTTGTCATTTACATCTACTTTCTTTGCTTACTTTAAGTTCTATAGCGATTGAGGGCGAGTAATTGGCAAAATTAAACAAAATGAACTGGACTGCCGTGACACAGCCCCTTTAAACCATCTGGCATTTCAAATGTGTACGTTCCATTTATCAGATTACTTTCTTTTTTCAGTGCCCCCAGTTTCTTATTTCTTGGAGTTTATAATTGATTGCCTGCAAAATGAACAGTCCTTATTTGACCGGGCGTGAAAAATGAGACAGACTTGAGCGAGAACTGTGCGATCTGGGAGACTATCGCGGAATGTGATGAGGGGGAAAGAAAGGGAGGAAAACAAATTGTTTTTGCTGGGAAAAAACGCCTGCTACACAGGCTAATTATTTCATACAAATTAGAAGAAACAAATATATACTGTTTTTAAGAAGCCTCCGGATTTGAATCACGGCTAACGTTTCAATTTACAAAATCTCGGCCTTGGTAGACATTTTTCACTTCCAATTCTCCACTTCGTTTCCACCTTACTAGGAACACCCATTAATTAAAAACAAAAATCTGGATATTATCTATACCTGAGCTACCGCCATTCCAACCAGAAGTAAACAGAGGAAAACAGTTTGTCGCAACATGATTTACACTCGTCGCACCCAAAACTGAGAACTTGTGCAGTATCTACGATGAAAAAAAAATGTTAGGTTTGTCGGTCAAGTCATTAACAGGATTTATGATTCTTAAACTCCTTTTACAAAGTCATCGTTGAAAATGTTTTCACGTTTACAATATCCGTACTTTTAAAAATGGCTCAAATGCGATTGTTTTCGAGACGAGAGGTAAAACAGGTATGAGAAAGAGCTTTTGATATACGACTGAGGTTAGCTACGAGGCTAATAAAGCTTGGAATGTCCAATCAGGTGCTTTACGGTGGCCAAATGAGAACCGTGACTTTTTCCTGCTTGGCAGTTTCAATTATCTTTTGAGTTTGAACAGACAGTTTGAACAGCCGAGTAAAGTTTTTTTAAACTAAGTCAACAAATTTAAAGAAATGTAACCAAATGTTTAGGTCCAAGGTCGACTGTGGAAGCAAGATCTTTTGATAGTTGACACTTGTATGAGCACACAAGTTGAACTTTTAACACTTTTTACGACATAAAACAGACTAATTTGCTTATCTGAGGGGGATTTCGGAGGCCAGTCTAATATTTTTTTCTATTGATAATCGTTCTTACTCCAATAGTTAATTATGTATACCCGCCAGTAAGTCTGTGGATCAATTCCTGTGGTGTTAACCTTTCAAATGAACCTCTTAGCAGACTGAATGCTGTGTTACTTTCCAGGATAAAAGGTTAAAACTCTATTAGTGAGGCTGGGAGGCTGCCACAGCGTTAACTATCGTTGACAAACAAACGATTAAGACAGCAATAAATATTCATGGCAAAAACCATCAGTAAACAAATAGCTCTGACACGGATTGAACCCATTTTCTTGAAGTTTTTTATTTTGTACCTGTAGTTGTTTCTAATTTTGTCCTATCCTACTGCCTTTCTTTTGGTTTCCTTAAACATCGGCCGTTTTTAGAAAATGAAAAAAGATTGTTTTATAAGTTGAAAATTATAATACCGGCCTGTTGCTGAGACCGGCAGGGAGTGTTTTATAGAGAAAAGGCCCCCTTAGTGTTCGTCAACGGGTGAGAGCAGAGTTGACAGCACTTGCAATCATATTTCCTTATAATTTCCTTATTTTCCTTATTTCCTTATAGCATTTTATAAATTCACTATACTTCAAATTTCCAACCACAATTACGACAATTAAATTGGTTGAATTTTTGTTGGAAAAGTGCTAGAATTGTGAGTGCAAGATAAAAGGTTTGGAAAAGGGAATACATATAGACTAGGAAGCCATGAGGTTCTCAAAGGGGGGTTAGTATGTCCGGCTAGTCTGAATTTCAAAACCGGTGTCTATGCGCGTATTAGAGGAGGAAGGCATTGAAAATATATCGCGTTGAAAATCACTCATTCCTCATGACCATTTATTTAATCCTGACACAAATGTGGAACTGAAAGAGTTTAACTGGGAAACATTAAAATTGATCGAGATCTTAAGCGACATTATAGATTTTTACAAAATTCTGTGAAATTGTCTTCGAGATGGACAAGTTACAGTTGTATGATAAAGCTTTAGATCAGGAAGCTAGCTACGAGTCTAAGAAAATTTGACAGACAAATGGCCAATGATTTAACTGACAACTGAAAAATAGCCTGAATTTTAACGGAAAATCTACATCACGATCCTTCTTTGTTACTACTATCCTTCTTTGCTACTCGCCGTAGCTAGACTTCTCAAAACTCATAACTTGATACCAAAAATAAACTGTTCAGTTCACTTTTTTTATACCCATTCTCCTCAGTCTATGGTTCAGAGGTATGGGGAGTCTATGACAAAGATGATCTCGACACCTAAGACAGAGATGTTTTTGAGAAAACTCATATCTTCCTTTGTAAACAGTCATTATAGGAGTAAACAAACAATGCCGAAACGTCGCTACCAGAAACGAACTCTTCAGATTATCCTTGAATTTCATTATAAATGTCAATAGTTTAAAATTTTAGATCCACTTACAAAACTTATGGTCTGGCCAAGGTGATTATAGGAGATTTGACTTTGAGATGTTGTTACATGGCCGACTCCAATTGAGAAGAAAACAAAGAAGACAGGGGTACGATAAGTGACAAAGTTAGCAATAACTACAGCAAAAAAATAACAAATCTATAAAAAACCGGTTAAACTACCCTGTAACACATGTTTTGTTTGCTGATAGGTTTTACCCATGAATACGTATTGCTCTCTTGCCATTTTTACATACATACACTGTTTACAGGTAGCCACCAGTCTATATTACGACACCTAAAGGATGATCATGAAGTTATCCCTATATTAACATCTCTCCTTACCCTTTCACATCCAGCCCAGGAAAGATTAGCCACACTACCGAAGTCTACGTCCCTACCCTTTACGAGTGGGTTTTTTTACTTCCCACAAGACCCAGATAAGTGAAAGTGCTGTGAGACGGGACCTACGGTTTTTCTTCCTTATCCGAGAAGACTAGAAAGCCTAAGGCGTTTGCACTTGTTATAACAACGGCAGCATTTTCTTCACAGTTATTTTGAACCCGCCACCTACCGCTCAGCAGACCGGCGCTCTCCCAATTGAGCTGACCAATGTCTTTAAACAACAGTTAAATGCTGAGACAATTCAAATCCTGTAGGCAGTCAGCCCTTTGATTCATTAACAAACCCAACAAGAAGCATGCACTAATAATGCAAAAAAGTTCATTCAAATAGTTTCACAAAGTATTTGATAGACTGACTCACGTAACCGGTGTCTCAATAATTAGCACTAGGAGCAAAAAGGATTATCTAGTACCTTATTGCTACTCATTTTCCAGCGTCTTTAATTTCGCGTTTTTCGCGATGTTAAAAAAAATCGCGAGAGTAAAGACCCGCGAAAATAAATCCTAGCGATATTTAATACCCATATAGTAAATTCAAATAACAATTAACATTGTAATAGCAACCACATGTATCGACAAACACAAATTGCTTTCTGGTTTTACTGGTAAGCTCCATTTTGTATCTTCCGTTGTGAAATGACGTTAGTTTGAAAAGATTTCACGATTGCCTAGTTCCAGTTTATCGAATTTTTTTCAACGTTCAGACTTTTTCGCAAAAGCAAATGAAGTTAAGAACGTTTAAATCGCGAAATTTACTGCCCTTTTTTCATGTTTACTTGTTAAAATCGCGAAAATAAACCCCCGCGAAATACCGTCTCGCCAAAATTGCGAAATTAAGTACCAATAAGATATAAAAAAGGAGTAGAACCTCGGAAAGCCTAACTTAG